GTGGTATAGTCACATAGGCGTAGCGATAATGTACTGAACAAGCTGAAGGTTTTGATGCTTAAAATAGTTGAAACTACGCTGAAGTATGTGCAGTAAAAAAACATACAAAATAAATTTTGAACAAGAAAAACAACCGTGAACACGTTTTTACGCCAGTCTCTGCACCACATATTTATAACCTTGCCTTGTGTAAGGATGTGTGTCTTGCTGTTTTGTTTTCACAAAGTTTGCAACATGCAAGCTGTGTCCTGCAGCAGCAAACGTGAAATCTTTCACAATCAGTTACCACCCAATGAAAACTGGAACTGGAAAATGAGCCTCAGGATGTCCCATACTAAGACAAAAGATAAGAACAGAGGCAGCTAACACGTTTTGATAGGCGAGTGTTCTGTCTGCACGTGTGCAAAACATTTTTTAACTCATTTACGGGTTCACAGTAAAACACTGTCACTGAGATTAGACAATAAAATGAAGCTTTTGTGCAGTTTTTTGCATTGAGGTTGAGTTTTTGGTGCAATACTTGCTTTTGAAAATTAAGAGTGAAGTAAGCCATGTTAAGTGTGAGGTTTTTTTAAAGAGTTTAAACAAAAAGGTCATGTAGTTTAATTTTAGTGTGGCATGAAACCAGTTTGACGYGTTGAGCCACAGAGAATGAACAGATTGTTAAAAAGTGTGAAAGCTGAGAATAAGGCTTTGATGATCCAGCTTTAAAATGATTCATGGAAATATTTTCACTATACTTTGAAATATTGTGAGTAAAATATTTTTTATTGAAATGGATGTACTGTTTTCAAACTAAAATATAGCAAAATAAAAAAGCATACCGTTTCTGTAGAACAATGCATCTCTTCTTTATAGACCTACAGCCCCTCTGACTGGATCAAACCAAATATACAGCATGACTGTTGCAACTAAATAAAATTAAGATTTTATTTCAACTTGTGTAAATGTATTAAACATRGAACTGAAAAACTTTTAATTTGAAATGTAAATGGCAATGCACAGAATGGAGTACAGATACTGGTATTGTTAGCGTTCCCGGGTAATGGGACATAAATTATGAGTACTTGTACTTGTAAAAATGCTTGTATCAGGCTACTAGTTTAAATCTATTTGCATAGTATTTTGTTAAATTTTAACACATTGCTTTTATTTTGAAGGGGAACACAAATTTATTGGCACCATTTCTATTTAAAGACCTTTGAAAAAGGGCAATTTAGGTCCTTTGTTTAGGAAAAGGTTTGCAGTTTATAAATAGTCAATGAGATCATTTGTATATATACATTAAATAATTATTAAAAGCAAATTTCAATAATGCTGGAGGTTCATGAAATAGTTTTTTTAACATCAGAATTCTATATTGTGTCCATGTGGGGGCAGTAATGTACAGATTTTTTGTTTTAATTTAGTAGTAGTCATTACAAATGAGAWTTTTAATTAAATGTATGAGTCAAACTGAACTGTAAAAGAGAGTAAAATAAAATAAAAACAWAATTAAAGTGTAGTATGAGGAGTAGTAGTATTTTGAGTAAAGTACCAGGTCACAGGGTTGGCGGGTGTTGCACAAGACATCAGACTGACATGTTTGAGTGCGTTTGAGCTCTCTATCAGAGCTCAGACGCTTTGCCATGTGACCTCTGACCCCCGGCGCAGTGTGAGGGACATGCCAACAGTCAGGGGTCATCAGAGTTTCCTGAACACACATTTCAGCATCAGAGCTGGTGTTTCAYGCTCACACGCGCTCTCACAAGGTTTCTGGAGTTTCTCTTGTTCCTTTAGCAGAGCTTCTTGCCTTTCTGTGTCATTTTAGCAGACTATCATCCCCTCACATGTCCGTTTCTTCATGAGGAAACTTTGGGACCCACACCAGTTTTTAGATAAAGCCAATCCCAAATAAAAGAAACAGAAAAGTTTTTATGTCCTGCAGGTTATTTTTGCCCCATCCATGTCACATGGCAGCATTAATGGCTTCTATTTTCAACATACACTGCAGCTTCAGTCTTCTAGTCTGAATCTTAAAAAAAAAAAAAAAAAAGAGAGAGAGAGAGAGAGGAAAGAGAAAGAAGGGGGCAACATATGATCAGCACATGGGGGGAGATGTCGTAATTCTGAATTCATTAGCAAAGACACACTGAAGGAATCAAAGTGTGGAGAGGGGAGGGAGAGTCAGAGAGGATAGGAAAGAGAAGAGAAGAGGGAGGGAAGGAGTGAGGGAGTGACTGGCGAGAGGAGTCTAAAAAAAGGCAGAGAGAGGGAGAGGGAGAGGGAGAGGGAGAGAGAGCAGTCAAAGAAATCTCCATGTGGCTGTGGAGGGAGAGATCATGGAGGGGGACAAGTTCTCAGGTAAGATCAGCTGAGCTGAGACAAAGCTCATATTTTTCCCTTCACTTTGGTTTGATCAACTTTGTTTTCTTTCTTTACTGTGCCTGACTTTCCTGCTCCAGTCTGCCCCCACCTCTCTCTCTCTCTCTCTGTGGTATTTTCCACTTGCTCATTCTGTCCTGTTTGCTGACTGCATGTTTTCTTTGGGGTTTTGGAGCTCTGCAGCATTTGTGTGGCAGCTTTTAGCTGACCCGCTCTGCTCTTTGTCCGTCCAGTTCCCTCGTTATTTTAGCACCCCCCCCCCCCACACACACACACACACACCTTTTTTTTTTGTCTCCTCACTCTCCTGTTTATCACTTTGGCTTCACGAGTCACTGGTTTTCACAGTCACTGTTGCTTTTACTCTTTCTGTATGTTTTATTTTTTATTTTGTTGAGTTTCAAACAATCCAACTCTGTGTGAGAAATCATCCCTGCCTTTTCCAGTTTCATTCTTCCTTGGTGTGAAAACAGGAAGAGGAGCTCAGCTTG